CGGGGTGAGCTTATATCTTTAAAAATGTCAATAGTTCTCTAGATACAAGGTCATTTCTTAATTATGTATCTAGAAATGGAAAATTTTCGAATGCAGCCTAAATAAAAAATTTTTCTTCTTCTCTTAATAATATAGATTATTTTTTTTTTTTTTTTAGGTATTCACAATTTTCATCACGTCTTCCCGTGGGACTATAAAGCCTCTGAATGGAAGAGTTTGTTTTCTAACACAACAACCTGGATTGATATGTTTGCTAAAATTGGATGGGCTTATGATTTGAAACGCGCTTCTCCAGAGTATATAAAGCTTGTTGTAGAGAGGAGAGGTGACGGAACTCATAAATTTTATGATGAATGATTTTATTAACTAAAAAAATAGTATAGATATTTTATAATTTTGTAATTATTATTTTTATTAAAAAGTAAAATTATTATCCATTAAATCTATGAATAATTATCCATTTTTAAATGTGGAATTTCTAAATTAAATTTATTTTATAATAATTTTATTGATAACACTGAAGTTTGCTGTCAGCTATCACTTTTAAAAATTTTTATAAATCAATTAAAAAAAAAAAAAGGTTCTAAAAATGTTCACTTATATTTTTGACATGTGGAATTTTTTTTTATTATATTTTTTTTATAATAATTAAATTGTAAAAAAATTTCTAATATCTGTCACCTTCAGAGTCATTAAAATTAAGTATTATTTTTAAAAAATTGCACTTATAGTTTTTAAAGATTTTTTTTTTTTTGTAATAATTTTAATAAAAAAAAATTCTAAAAAATTTTAGATCTCGGCAAACTTAATTTTCATATTAAACCAAATAAAAAATAGAATAATAAATGACATTTAATAAAAGCGAGAATTGTTAATTAAAAATTAATTATTTTCACATGAAAATTAATTTAGCAGATATTTGATAATTTTTAGAATTTTTGTTAACAAATAAATTATGACAAAAAAAATAAGAAAAAAAAATTGACATCTAGAAATTAAATTAAAAAAAATAAAAAATGAAATTTTTTTGAAATAATTTTTTATAATTATTTTATGACATTAATGTTAGCAGTCACTTAACAATTTTTTAATTTTTTTTAACAAATAGATTTTTTCAAAAAAATTATTAAAAAAAAATTGGATTTTTTATTTTTTTAAATTTTTACATGTCAATTTTTTTTGTACTTTTTTTTTGCAATAATTTATTTGTTAAAAAAATTCTTAAAATTATCAAATATTTGCTAAATTAATTTTCATCATTATCTTCACAGTACTTACAATTTACACTATTTTCAATCCATCAAAACCTCGAGTTTATCTTCAATGTTTTCAGCTCAGTTAATAAGTGTAAATACAAAAACATATGTGTGTAGGTTATAATATCAGAAAACAAACGATTTGGATTGAACGTGAAGTTAGTATTAGAGCGCTGTTGCTTCTGTATTGGTGGCAATTACTCACCAATGGCAGCTGAGCATTTATAACTCCATGACTACATGAAAACAAATCACCGAAAGAGACAACCTGAAATTGCACTCAAACAAACGCATTAAGTATTAAGTGCTACACGCTAGTACGCTACACACATTCTAAGAGACAGAGGACGGAAAACATAGATCGAATCGAGTTACTAAAGCAAAAGCAATACAGCAACAGCAGTGAACAGCAGCTAACGCATCAAGAACCAGATAAACTTTCAGCTCATGCTGTTTTGTGTGTTAGACTCTCAAAGAATTAATTATTAAACAACTTTAATTCTTCTGAACAATTTTCAACGACCATCATTGTTTCATCAGCCATCAGTCAAACTATTATTTATATTTATTACTAAAAAATAATTTTTATAATGGCTCAGAATATAAATCCGTTTTACTCCTCTCCAAGTGCTAACAGCAAAGCTACCGAGGAAAAGCAAAATATACCAAAAGATAATCACGCTGTTAGTAAACGGTAAGTGACAAACATTTGTTCATTAATTCATTAATTATTTTTTTTTATTTCATTAATTTCTATTCATTGATTTTAAAATATAAATTAATTATAATTTTTTATTTATTATTCTAAATATAATATTTAATTATTTAAATATTATAATTAAATTATAATAATTATAAATATAATTAATTATAATTTCAATAAAATATTTTATTTATTATTTTGTAATTTTATTGCAAAATATATATAACCTCTTTACTATTTTTATTTTATTTGTTATTTGGACTTTGTGTTGGTAAATAATGAAGTTAATGGTGGTAATTGTTTATTTGTTTACAGTTTACAAAAAGAACTGATGGGCTTGATGATGAATATGGAGAAAGGTGTGTCTGCGTTTCCTGATGGTGAAAATTTATTCAAGTGGATTGGAACAATTAATGGACCTAAAGATACGGTATGTATTTAATAATTTATTTATTTATTTATATATTTTATACGGGAATTAATATACTGCTTTATCAGTTGGTGATGCAAATTCAGCCGTAGCTGAATTTTTTTTTTAGCACTAGAGCAATAGTATTTTCATTTTTAATAATATATTTTAAAGTAAATAAGATAATTGTGACATTAATTACTTTATTAGGATTTTATAATACAGAATTTTTTTTTCTAATTACTGTTGATAAATTAATTAATTATTACAGTCGTCAAAAAAAATTTTTTTAACATTATTTATTTATTATGAAGACAATGATAAGTTAAAATTTTAGGAAAATTTTATACTAAAAAAATTTTAATAGTTTATTTTAATTTAATAATAACCATTATAAATTTGTAGAATTTAGTTAAAAATTAATTGTAGTAGTTTTTAAAGATATAAGCTCATCCCGATGTTACACTCATCAAGACCTTTCATT